AGAGAGAGACACGCAAACTTTAACGAGGTTCGAAGGTGGGGTAATCCTTCTACGTCCTCAAAATCCACTCTGTAGTTGGTTGTTGAATAATGAACCAACAATTACACTTGTGTGAATTTCTGCACGGTATATCTTCACAAGACCAATGTTGCTACTGCACTCGTGCTGGCTTTGTTGTTCCTTCGAAGGTCAAGCTTCTTCAACAACTGCAAGATCCGAACAATAGGACTTGCAAGACCAACTTATAAGAAAGTTGACCTACCCCCTTTCAATCAATAAGTTTGATCAAAAGTTGTATCCTTCAACGTGGTGTGGTACTTGAGGCAAGGAAACCTTCAAGTATTTACACTATAGCTTTTTGGAAGGAGGAGAAGTTTGCTTCTGGATAAGGAGTTTAGAAATCTCTCTTTATCAAGCTTTTTGGGATAACTGTCAATGAGGTAGCCTCTTTGTGGTTGTTCTTCTTATTGTTGATGAGTTATTGTCTATATTTCCCCAGTCTTCCAAGGATGATATTTATAGCTTGATTGGATAATCTATCCGTTGAATCAAAATAGACTAATCGTTGCATTTGCTGGCTTCAATTTTGAATGAAGATTGGGATTTGAAGATTTCTCATTGGAATGGGTGTTTGGACATACCCAATTGTTAAAGGAGAGATTCCTTTTTCCATAGAGTCCGTCTTCTAGCTGTTGTTCAAGTATTCTGGACTGTAGAACTTTACTCTGTTTGTCTTCTAGTGCTTGTTTAAGAATTCTAGACAGGTTCTTCAATTCTTAGAGGTCCAGACTTTGTCTTCGAGTCATTTGTTCTTGAATCAGCATAATTATCTTCAATCTAGCCGTTGAAAATTAAGAGATTGATTTTTCCTTACCAATGGGTAGAATTTCTTCATTCAAGACTTATATAATTTTCTAAGTCTTTTTTCACTTGTCCGCTTTTTGAGAATTCCGGTCTTCCCTGAGGCATCCGGTTCTTAGGTGACAAATCCGGAAGAGTCATACTCAATCTTCCTGGTGAGAAGGAAGTCCGCGCTAGTCTTCCGACTTAGCCTTCAGCGGGTTGTAATGAGACATCCGGTTCTCATGTAATATTCAGATAGGAGGATTTTTGTTTGCCTTGAGAAATCCTTACTTGTCTCTGATATTTCCGATCAAGATATCCAATTTCCAAAATTTTTGAATTTGATTAAGTCTTCACGCATCAAACCATTTAAGGAAATATCACAACTTAATTGGAAATCTCAAGAACTTGGTTTTAACAATATTTCTAAAAATTACATTGAATATCTGGGGAGACCTAAAGTCCCTATTACATTCTAAATACATCATCATCAAAATCTATGATATTTTTCCCAACATGACCCGATGCGACGGTCGGTACCTCGGTACTGTGTTAACGGTACCTTGGTAACGTGTTACGGTATGCCATACCGTGTCCAGGTGCCGTGTAACGTCAAAATCTCATTCTTCTCTGGCAGTACCTATTTAGGACGGGACCTGGGTACCGCCAGGGGTGCTGTGTCTCAGCTTAATGTTTTGTTTCGACTTCTAGACGCGTGTTTTGAGCATTTGGTCTTGATCAATTTATTTTTATGATATAATGAGATAATAAGAACCTTAAATTTCACTTTAATTCAAGCATTCGCATTTCCCGACAAATATGTAAGAATTGTTTTTCATCCAATGGTTTTGTAAAAATGTCGGCACGTTGTTCGAGTGTATTTACATATTCAATTTGAATATCTCCCTTTGCAACATGATCACGTATGAAATGATGTCTTATTTCGATATGTTTAGTTCTAGAATGCAAAACAGGATTTTTGGAAATATTTATTGCACTTGAGTTATCACAAAAAATAGGAACTTTTGAAAATTTTAAGTTAAAGTCACTTAGTGTTTGCATCATCCATAAAATTTGAGCAATACAACTACCCATAGCCACATATTCCGCTTCGGCACTGTTAGATAAATGTGCAACTCTAGAGGGGGGTGAATAGAGTTGTTTTCAAAAATGTGCATTTTTCGCGTGTGTGAAATAACACCGAGATTTATACTAGTTCACCACCTCGTGGCTAGTTCAGTCCTCCAAGAGACTCTCTCGAAAGTCCTACTAATCTTCAAGCTTCAACGGGTGCTTGAAAAACTGGTACAACTTGAGAACT